AGGTGGAGCACATGAAGTGGCTCAGCGCCCGGCTCTGGGGTGAGCCGGGGAGCACACCCCAGCTGGGAGACAGACCCTCCCTGCACCCCCTTTCTTCATCTGCAAACACAGTTGTGCGAGGATGGAGCGGTGTAGTACATGCCGGCCGGCCAGGTGCTAGAACTAAGCCGTGAACCCGGAAGCACTGCGCTGTGTTGGCCGCCATTATGAGGGCCTTTGGAAAGGTCTGGCTGTGAGACCATCCTGCCTCATTCCCACCGAATAGTATTATTAGCTAATATTAATTGAGCACTTGCCTATGCCAACACAGCTTATGAGGGAAAAGACTCAGGCTCGGGGCAGTGATTTGTCTCAGGAAAGCCCGCACGGCCAGGCCAGGGAGTGGCCCGGCTGGGAAGCTAATCCCAGCTCTCGCCACCGTGTTACACTGCCTCCCAGGGGCCCAGCTCCGGCATGGAGCAAGGCCCCCGCGTCTCCAGGTCTCCAGTTTCCTGTCCGTGCAACAGGGGCTTGGACGGTGACTCAGGAGGGTCCCTCCCACACTCACTCTCTGGATCCTAATTCTGTCCTCGAATGCCCCGGAGACTCTATGCCAGCCCCACTTCCATAATCTCACACAGTCCTTGTGGAGAGGGAGAAGTGAGCCTCAGAGAAGGGATGCCATCGGCCCCGGGTCACTGCAGGCCAGCAGCGGAGGCAGGTTCGAGCCCAAGGCTACCGATTCCACAGCCTGCGTCCTTTCTCTCAAGACCCCCTCGGCAGAGCTCATGGCTCCTACTTGTCCTGTCAACAGTGTCTTAACGCTAACAGTGACAAGGGAGTGCAGAGAAAAACACCTGGGAGGTGGCAGAGCCCATCCTCTGCCACTTGACCAGGTGTGGCCTTGGACAAGTGCTGTGTGCCTCTCTGAGCTTTGGTGTCCTAGACCGTAAATGAGGTTCCAAGTCCCTGCCCAGGGAGGCCACTGTGAGGATGGGAGAGGAAAGAGAGGGGCACGGAGGCTGTGGGGCTTGTGGTGGGAGGGCGTCCCCACGCCCTCTTCCTGAAAGCACTTTCTATCGGCGCTCAACATGGCCCCTCTGTCCCTCCCTCCTGCCACCCCCTATAAGAAGACTGACAGGAGGAAGCCAGGAGGCTGGGCTCTGGTTCCTTTGCTCACCGGGGATGTCAGGCTCCTTTACAGCCTTCCGTGGGCCTCATGTTTCCTGCAGACAAAGCAATGGTGGTGACTGCCCGCACTGAGCCAGGATCTGAGCAGGCCCTCGGCGAAGGACTGCCTTCCCTCTCCTCCAACCCCAGCGCGCCCCATCCAGCTGCAGTGGCACGAGGCTGGGCCTCTGTGTGCTATCTGCGCAATGAGCAGGTGGGACAACTCATCCCAGGGACCCTCGGCTCTGACTACGCACACGCCAATTCATAAAGCCCTTAGCTGCCTGCTTGGTTTTATTTTTAAAAATTCACTTTGTGCTTGCACAATTCAAGCTGCAGAAAGCCCAATGTACGTCCTCCAGCTGAAGAGCATCTCAAGGGTAGGACGTGGATGCTCTTCGTCTTTCCAGGCCCCAGCTTGAGCAGATGGCCGCTTACCCACTTACTGCCACTCTGCCCGCTCCCTGGCCCTGCCACCACTCTCCACGGACCAAGGAGGCTGCTTTTCCCCTCCAGGTTCCCGGTCTCAACTGGACACTGGGGTGCTGACATCTGCCTCTCCCAGGATTGCTGGCCAGGGTGAGAGGGAGGGGCTGAGAGGTCCTGGTGGCCTGCAGGACACAATGCTCCCCAAGATCATCTCATTCCAACCCTTTGCCCATAGGTCTGGTTACGGGGAAAGGGCACTGGTTTTGCGGTTAGATGGACTTGGGTCCATTCCCTGGCTTTTCCATTGCCTGACTGTGTGATCTTCGCTTCTCTGAGTCTCTGTCTCCTCATTTTTAAAAGTGATCATGATGATGGGTAACATGTACTGAGTGCTTACTCTGAAAATTAATAAAGGAAAACCTCACTAGCATGGCACCAGGAGGCCAGCAGGGGGAGCCCTCACATCACACCACGGGACGTCAATTACAGGAAGCCTTGTCATTCAGACCCCAACCGAAGAACCCTCCACAGGAAAGAATCGTCATTTATAGCTCCCAATAGGAAAAAATGCACACTGCATCTCCTACAAGAGACTGACTACCCCAGCAACTCAGTCTGTGGGAAACCATCAGCGCCCTCAACTCTTGCTTTTCTCCAACTGGGCTTTCCTTCCGAACAACCCCTCCCGATTTCCTCCCCTTCTCCATAAAATAATGTTCTTCTCCTTTATAAAGGACCAGCTTATGGTTTTTGCCATAGCCTGTTTGTCCCATGTTGCAATTGTCTGCCATTCCTAAATAAACCCATTTTTTTGGCTGGTAAAATAACGGAGTTCTTTTTAAGATCAACAACTCCATGCTGGACCCTGCTTTAAGCAACTTACAAACTTGTTCAATCCTCATGACAACCCTGAGAGGTAGGTACTATCGCCCCATTTTGCAGATACACGAGCTGAGGACAAGTCACCGGGCTAGCAAGGGGTGGAAGTGACTCAAAGCCAGGCTGGTGAGGGATGGGAGCCCAAGCGTTAATCGCTGTACCCTGCAGCCTCAGAAAAAATCCCAGGACAGTATCACTCCCAGGGTAGGGCACTGAGCCTCCCCATGTTGGCCCTGAGCCCAGAGCAGGGTGTCCCCTGCCAGTATTGGCTGAGCAAAATAAAACCAACTCAAGAGTGGGCCTCCCTGGAGGAGGTCCTGAACTTAAACCTCAAGCATTTGGCTGAGGAGCCAGGAAGGGTCCTAAAAGTCTCCTTCCAATCTGCTGGGGAGTCCCGCTAACACCTGCCGTGCTTGTCCCTGGCACGAACACTTGGGGGGCCACCCTGCTTCCCACCCAGGCTGTGCCACTAACACTGGGGATGCCCTGGTCATTCTACTAGGCTGAGGACAGGCTCTGCTCTCCACCTGCCTGGACCCCCCCTGCCCCAGCCCAGCCCAGCCCCGTGCTCCATCCACATGCTCCAACCACAGCCCAGGGCTGGAAGACCCCCCACACCCCACCTGCTGCCCTGCTGGGGCCTGCCAGCTGCCTCCCACCCTGGGCAGAGCCACCATCACAGCCCAGCCTTGCCTGCATCCCCCTCCCCACACATTCCCAGACCCTGGACCCGCCTATGTCTGGGGAGCAACAACCCCCACCTCATTCCTTCACTCCTGCCAAACCTGAGGCATCTGAGAACATATACTTAGGTATCTGGCAGGAGCTAGGTTCAAACCTGGCTCTACCACATGCGTGGCCTGGGGCAAATGCCTTGTTGAGTCTCAGTAGTCTCATCTGTAAAATGGGAACAATGACCTACTTCATTGGACTCTGAGAACAAAATGAAATACTAGCATTTATTGGGCAGCTCTTGAGGTCAGGCCTCATGCTATGTGAATTTTAAATCTTTACTTCCTTTAATCCTTAGGAGCTAAGGATGCTTCATCTCAAGAATACACAGCAGCCAGTCCAATCAAGAAGAGCCTTTATGGTTCTCTACAAATAGAAGCTCAACAGTAATGAAGCGAGCCCACTGCCTGCCCCCAGAGGTCGCAGGCCCCAGGTGGAAATGAGGGGATGTTAGGTACCTTCAGTCAGGTGCAGAGAAACCAACAGCAAGGGCGGGGGGCAGGTGAGGGAGTCCAAGGGTGTGGTTAGTGCCTCGAGGTCTAGTCCAGGAGGTCAGTCTTTTTCAAAGTTCATGATTCTGAAACGCTTCCTCCCGTCCCCCCGCAGAGGGAGCACCAAGGGAGAATGTGGGAGAATGTGAGAGTACCCCCATATGGTAATGAACATGAGTCCTCCAGGTGGGGTTGATTGGGGACGGGGATGCCTCAACTGGCCCACTTTCCCTCCCCACCCCCCCACCTGTGATCACTGTCTAAGAACACACCCAGGGAATGAGGGGTGGATGCTCCCCCCCCACCCAGCCTCCTGGGGGGCCCTGGAAGTCCCCTTCAAATTAGAGCTGAGGACAAGGTCAGGGTCTGGGGCATTTCAAAGACCAGAGGTCAGGGCCCACTTGGGACCTTGGACTCCAAGCACAATCAGGGCCTGGGCACTTTGGGTAAGGCCAGTAGAGGCTACAGTCCCCCCAACTCAAGGCCCTGCCCTAGATCCTACCCATACAACCTACCTCTGCCCTCCCTCCAGGAACTCCAGCCTGGCCACCAGCACCTCGGTCCTTACTTGGGGCCTCAGGTCCCAGCTTGGCCACCTGCCCCCATCCCCAAGGTCCCCTTTTGGGCCTCACCTTCCTCTGTCCCCTCCCCACTGGGGTTGGCGGCCCCCTCAAGCCTCCAGTGCTGAGGCCCATCACTGAGCCAAGCGTTCTTCCCCCAAAACCTACTACTCTCCATAACAGGCAAGAACATGGCTGAAGCATGGACTGGGGGCTCCTCAGGCCTTCCCCTCCCCTTATCGCCACTGAGGAGCCTCAGGAAAGCAGGTCCAGCCCTTGCTTTATTGAAGGGGAATACCAGATGGGCAAACCCACTCGTACCCCTTCCCTGCCACCCCTCACATCTAGGACCAGGGCTCCTGCCTGCTGGCTGGGAATCCAGAGCCCACCCCCGCAGAGGCTTACCTGCAGCACCCAGCTCTCAGCCCCACCCACACAGGCACCCATGGCCCTCCGGGCCCTCCCTGACGTCAGGAGGAGAGGGTGGAACAAATCCCATGACTTGCACCCCCAAAGCCTCACCTGCCATCCTCCCTCCTTGCGAAATTGCCTGCCTCTGCAGGGTCTGGTCAGACGGTGACCCTACATGAGGTCTTCTGGGACTCAGGCCCTGCCTTCCGCCCCTACCCACAGAGGGGCCTGGAGACCCCCTGACACCCAATGGGGAGAGCGGAGGGGCTGCCCCTAAGGCCGGCCCAGTCAGGGACAGGCCCCTGCCCCTCAGCGCCTCCTGGCAGCTGCGCCCCCCCGCCGCCCCCGTGGTTAGAAAAGGAGAAGCAGTGCGGGGCGGGCGGGGCCGAGGCAGGCAGGGGGCCGCGCAGAAGAGCAGAAGGGCAGCGGCGTGGTCAGGGCACCTCAGGCGGCAGCAGAGGTGTGTCCGAGTTCTGTGCCGAGACACTGGGGGACTCGGACCCGATGAGCCCGAGGCTGTACAAATTAAGGATGGAGTCGGCAATGATGCGGGCCGTGCGCTTCTGGTACCCGCCCGAGGTCACCATGAGGATGGGCACCTGGCGGCCACGGACCACCCGAAACACCAGTTCGTCCCGCTTCACGATGCCCTGTGGAGCAATGGGGGAAGGCTGGGGTCCTTGTGGCTTCGGGAAGTCCCGGCCGGCCCCTCCCCCACACCAGGAAAAGCACCTGTGCCGCCTGCCTCGCCCGCCGCCGCGGGTCCCCAGGGCGGACCCCACACCCCCCCAGGGTCCGGACGTACCTGTGGGCTGATGGACAGCCCGCCAAGGCGGTCCCCTTCCAGGATGTCAGTGCCTGCGTTGTATACCACCACGTCGGGTGGGTGCTCCCGGAGGGCCTTCTGGAGGTTCCGCTCCACTTTATCCAGGTACTCATCATCCTCCGTGCCCCACTCCAGCTCCACCTTCCGCCTGATGGCCTCTGAGCGGGAGACAGGAAGAGCCCCGATGCGCAAAGAAGGGAAATAGGCTCAGGAAGGTCAAGGTTGCCTGGGTCCCTGTCGGTGCCCCAGGCAGGACGGCAAACAGTCTGATGCCAGCACCGCTCTGCCTCATTCCACCCAAAATGAAGCTAAAGAGCACCAAGAACTGCAAGGGGGACCAAGGGAGAGGAGGCACTGCAGCTAAAACACTGTGCCCTAAGGGTTTTGAGACCCATGTGGGTGACATCTGATCTCATTGCCTCCTTGAGCCTCCACCTGGAAATGTGGACACTCTTGCTGCACCCTCAGGCCCAAATCCAGCACCTTCTAGTCCCCATTCAGAAACCGGGCCCCTGGGCCACGCCTGGGGCTGAAGTACCCTCAGTAGATCCACTGGCATATGGGCACCTGGGTGGCTCAGTTGGTTAAGCGACTGCCTTCGGCTCAGGTCATGATCCTGGAGTCCCGGGATCGAGTCCCACATCGGGCTTCCTGCTCAGCAGAGAGTCTGCTTCTCCCTCTGACCCTCTTTCCCTCTCGTGCTTTCTATCTCTCATTCTCTCTCTCTCTCTCAAATAAATAAATAAAATCTTTAAAAAAAAAAAAAAAAAGATCCACTGGCATAGATGTCCCCTTAGTGCATAAAGGTCCCCTATTTGCAAAGTGGCCAGGGTGCTGTGTTTTCAAAATTCATCTGGGAGTTTTTGGGCGCCTGGGTGGCTCAGTCGTTAAGCGTCTGCCTTCAGCTCAGGTCATGATCTCAGGGTCCTGGGATCGAGCCCCGCATCGGGCTTCCTGCTCAGCGGGAAGCCTGTTTCTCCCTCTCCCACTCCCCCTGCTTGTGTTCCCTCTCTCGCTGTGTCTCTCTCTGTCAAATAAATAAATAAAATCTTAAAAAAAAAAATTCATCTGGGAGTTTTTGCCTTTTGACTGGTAAGTTTAAGCCACTTGCATTTGTTTTCACAGCCATTACGCCCGACTTGGTTTCTGCCCTCTTATTTTGTATTTCTCTTTATCCCATTTTTCCTCTCGTTTCTTGTTGGTCCTTCCCTGTTTTCTACCAGATAAATGCATACGCAGGAGGGGTTCTATTTTTCTTCTTCTGGTGCCTTCCCTAATGCAAGGCCCCACACGTGTTGTTTATTGGATAGGTTTATTTGATCTTGGATGGGTCAAGTAAGTTAAGTCTCAGTTGGCGTGTCTATAAAAGGGGAGCAATCCCCACCTCCCAGGGATGCTGAGGATGACTGAAGGGACTCCTGCAGAACACGGCATGTAGGGAACACTCAGGAGAGAGAGCTCCATCCAAGCACGAGTGCACTTAAGACTGAGGGAGAGGGGGCAGCTTACGCTTGGCGAAGCGGTCCCCAGGGTAGATGTGGCGGTTGTAGACGTCCATGATGTACACGCGCTTGTCACCCATGAAGTCCCGTTCATGCCCATTGCCCTGTGGGGAGGACATGAAAGTTGCTTGCACACAGGCGCCCTCAGCAAGGACAGGACCCCCGCACACACCCCAGGAAATGGCCCATGAGTGCGTGGGCAGCTCAGTTGGCCCTTGGAGGCAGAGAGTCTCTTGGCTGTTAAGTGGCAGGGCTGGAATTCAACCTCAAATCCCAGCCCCATGGTCTTGTAGTGTGACCTTGAGCGAGCCCCAGCCCTCTGCGTGTCTTCTCCACAGACTGAGAAAGGAATTCCAGCCCTGCCACCCTCTCTGGTCTGTGGCAGGATCAGCGGGGGTCAGGAATGGGAAAGGTAAATTGGAAAGGGCTGTGCAGGTGTGACTTGGTACCAGAGTTCAGTGTCACAGGACACCCCCCCCGCCAAGCAAGGCACCCACCAGCACAAAGGCACAACAGCAGGGGTGTGGGAGGGGTCCTCGAGAGCCCATTTCATGTCCTGCCCTGTCTGACCAGAGGAGCCAGCCCTATATTTGGAGTCCTGAGGAGGAAGCCCTGCATTCTGCTGCTTCACCCCCAGGCAGTGAGTTCTTAAGTAGTGGCCTCTGGCCCCCGCAACCCTGAAATCCTGCATGCGATCATTTGTCTGAGGGGCAGGTCCACAGTAGTCCTCAGCTATCTGCAGGGGGTGGCACCCCAACCTGACTAGGAAGCACTGGGGAGCCGCAGCAGGCTTTAGAACATGAGAGTGGCATGGCCAGACTGGGCTCTAGGAAGAGTCTTCAGCCTGGTGTGTTGGGCAGTCAGAAGGGAGGAAGCACCCTTGGGTTTGACAGAAGCAATGAGGAGGACCCAGTGCCCAGGATGGCCTGGGCGGGGCAGAGGGACAGAGACAGACCCTCCACTTCCAGCCCAAGGCGCAGAAGATGGGCTGCGAGGAGAGAAGCAGATCAGGGTGGGGGTGGCAGAGGCCCAGCCTGGTGCTTGGCAATGTTCCCAGGGGGAAGGGAGCTCCACAGTGGGGGGCCATGTGACAGAGCTGATGGGGGCCTGGGGAGGCAGGGCCATGAGACCACAGCCCCCATAGGGTACTCACCTGATGGGCATCGAGATCAACAATGGTGGCTCTGGAGATGCCTTCCACTCGCTCAAACAGAAACTGCCAGGGGAGGGGAGGGGGCAGTGAGGACCCGCACAGGCCAGAGGACATAGCCCCTGGGGCATTCCTAGTTGGTGAGGGGTCAGGTGGGGGGCTGGACACACTTGTGGGCAATCAGGCCACCGGGCAAAGAAGTCCCACACCCAGGAGAAGCCCGTGCAGCTCGAGAGAAGCATGTGTGCACGGTCAGGGAAGGCTCCTTGGAGGAGGCAGCATGTGCTGTACCCTGGCAGGCTAGAGGTCAGGAGCAGGGTAGTCGGGCTAGCCCTCAGAGACAGCCCAGGACTCCTAGGGGAATATATAGGGGTTGAGAGAGGGAACCTCCCCTCAAGGCTGTGCCTGGAACTTCATCCTGCATTCTCTGCCTTATCCTACAAGGCCAAGTTCTCATGTCTCCTTCCCTGGGAAGCCTTCCTTCCCCTCCCCCACCCTCTTGGAAGGTCTCCCGTGTGTCCCCCTCTCTGAATGGCTGGGGTCTGCTGACCTGCTTGCCCCACTCCCCCCATGTAGTCTGTGTGCTCTGTGAGAACAGGGACCACGCCAGCCCATTCCTGATGCCCAGAACCAGGCCAGGCACAGGGTGCTTAAAGGGAACTCAGCAACCCAGCAGAGGTGTAGGCCAGTGCCCGCCCTGCCCCTCACCTCTCTGGGCTGGGGTCTCCTCCTCTGTACAGGGGAGGAGTAAATGAGGTAAGGAGGGCAAATGGAGGCTGGCGCAGGGCTGGGCCTGCCGGAACCAGCCATCCCCATCATTATGCCCATCTCCTCCTCACTCCGGTAGAGTGATGTGCTCCCTATATCGTGGACAAATAGGCTGCCCCTCTCCAGTCCCCACCATTGTTGAGGCCACACTGTCTCCCTGCAGCATAGACAATGCAGAAGAGCAAGTGTCAGGTCTGGGTTGGAGTCCCAGCCTGGCTGGGCAACCTGCCAGCTTCCTCCCCTCCTGGGATGCAGTTCCCTTTTCTGTAATGTGGAGGAGAACACCCAACTGGGGCTGGTGGGGCCGTTCCAAGGAGGGCTCCTCGAGCGAGGACCCACGTGCTCGCGGCGCACCTTGATGGCCAGTGTGATGTCCGCATAGGCGCAGAAGCCGCCGCCCCGGTCACTGGAGCAGTGGTGGAAGCCGCCACCTGTGGAAGGGCAGACGCGGTGTGGTCACCCCCCCCATCCTGCCCACACCCTGTGCCTGCTCAGCTCCCAGGGACAGGCTCCTGGAACTCCACGTTGGCAAAGTGAACCGAGCACCTGAGCACGTCGCCATCCCCGAGTCAGGAGACAGCTTTGCCATCACAGCCATCCCTGCCCAGAGCAAGAAACCTCTCAGGCTGTCCTGACAAGTCAGCCCCCAGGGCCCATCACAACCCCCAGGGGCCAGGAGCTCATCTTTCCCAAGGCAAAAAGTTGTTCCTTGCCTCTGTAGGGCCCAGGCCTGCCTCCATGTGACTTCCCATGCCAGGAAGGGGTGGTGGGGCTGTGGGGGACCCGTTTATGCTAGGACCACCCACATTCTGCAGGTGGTAGAAAGGGATGGTCAGGAAGGGCACCTTCTGCGGTCATGGCCACCCGTGGCAATGGGAGGCCCTGGACGCCAGGGTCTGGCTCCCACCTCTCCCCCACTCTGAGAGCCCACTGCCCTGCAACCCCTACAAGGACCTGAGTTTCAGGGCCCCACCCAGCAGGTCGAATCCAGGGCCCACGGCTACAAAGGACTTGCCTCTTTTCATGCCAAGAGGCTGTCAATGGATCTTAACAATGAGATAATAGCCAATCATGAACTCCTAACTGGGCACAGAGCTCACTGAAACCTCCCTACAGGCCCAGATGGGGACACTGTTATCATCACCTCCATTTTACAGATGAAGAAAGTGAGGCACACAGAAAACCAGCACCTTGCCTGGGATCACACAGCTGACTGCCATGCAGAACCAAGATTCAAACCCAGGCTGGATCAGGACCTGGGCTCTTAACCTCTACCAGATCATAACATCTTCCAGGTGGGAAGGGCCTCCCTGGGTCTTTGTGAGGACCCTGCTGTAGACACACAGGGCATGTCTCCTTCAGTCATCCATTTAGCAGTGTCTCATAACACCACGGTTATGCCAGACCTAATGCTGGCTACCTGGTGATACCAAGATGGAAGAGCCCCAGCCCCTAGCCTTGCCGAGCTCACAGCCAAACGTAGGGGTTCTCTGCTCTGGGTCTCTGAGCAAGCCACCAGGCCTCTCCCCCCACCTATTTCTTCATCCATACAATGGAACTGACAACAATGCCCAGCTCAAATGAGAGGCCAGACCATAAGCGCTTTGCTAACTGTGAAGTGCTGCGCCTCAGTGAGGGACAGATGAGGACGAGACAGGAAGATGTGTGCAGCCCTCCCATGAGCCAATCTTGCGGGAGAGTCCAGGGGACTGCAGAGTGCTGGCCCTCAGGCCCCTGAGAAGGCCGTGGTATTGACCCCGGGCCTCTCTGTCCATCACGTGACCAAGCCCCTGTAGACTGTCCTGGGCCCCAGGAGGCTGATGGAGTTTTTCAGGAAAGACTCTGAAATGCTACAGGTTTTAGCCCCACCCAGGGCTGCCCAGGGGATTGTGAAGGCTTTTGCAGAGGGAGTGAGCTCCTTGTCACTGGAAGTATGCAAAGGCAGAGCTGGAGAGCCAACTGGGGAACTCCTTTAGATAAGGATCCCACCCCAGATGGAGGCACGGGTTGGTCCCTCCCAGACACCTGATGGCTGCATACCCTCCCCCACCCCACTTAATAAGGCACCAGAGCCTCTCAACTCTTCAGGTTGCCCTCAGGTTCCTCCTGGCCCTCCCAGCCCCCAGGACCCAGCAGGCCAGGGTGGCCAGGGCACTCACCCACATTGATGGCCCAGCCTCGCTCCATGGCCAGCTTCCCTGCCTTTGGAGACAAGCACAGGGTGAGAGGCACAGGCAACCAATTCCCTCACTCACTCATTCATAGCTTCATTCATTCATTCCATAAACACTATGCTATGTCCAGCCAGCTCTGAGGTAGGGCTGACCTATGAGGTAGGGTTCAGGAGGCACCCACCCTCCAGCAAACTCAGACTCAGTCTTGGAAGCAAGTACCAGATTGGCTGGCATATGAGATGTGCGGTGCATAAGCCCTTTTGCAATTTTGCCAAGAAACTGGAAAAAATCAAAGTTAAGTAGTTATGATCACAGGTGAGCTGACAATGATCTTAATGGGGCTTTCAAAGGGAAAATAGACAATTTTTTGCCCATGGAAATATGGCAGACTGCATACCAAAATCGTGTAGGAAATCATTGTTTGGGGGTGGGCAGTCATATTCCAATAAACAAACAAAACAAGGTACAAATTTGCAGAGCTAAAAAGAAATCTATCGGGATCAATAGGTCTTGATCCAGCTCTGGATTAGATCATCCTACATTTAAAACGGCAATGTTCCTCTACCTCCAATTAACTCGGCAGCCTGTGACTACTTTTAAAGACAACTACATATGGGATATGAAACCTAATTTTGCTGCAAGTGTTCTTTACTGCCCCACCCATATGCAGGGTGAGGGGAGCATCGCCCATCACTGAAGTCATGGGGGTCTGGTTTTCCATCTTGAATCGAGTACACTGAAGCCACAGTTTGAGGATATACTCTCTGGGGAATGGGGATATATCTTATATACCAGCAAATACGGTAACTCTAATAGGAGGTCAGTTGGGGGGAGGAACAAGGAATTCAATGTCCTGGAGCACGTGGGAAAGCCTTCTGGAGAAAGAGTCGTTGTTGCTGTGCCTTGAGGAATATTCAGGATTTTGTTCAACTACAAAGTGGGAGGAGTGTATTCCAGATGGAGAGCCCAGGGTGAGCAAAAGCCCAGAGGCGCGGGGGTCTGGAGCCCAGCAGTTGCTTCCGCCTGCCTCCCCACCTACCATGATGGTTCCTCCCGTCTGGGTCCGGAGGGGCTTCAGCACCTTCCTCTGCACAAGGAAGTTGGGGAGGAAGATGACAGGGGGGATCTCTGTGATGGTCGCAACAGCAAAGGACCACTGTGGAAAGAGATGCAGGCCATTGGCCTCCCACTGCCGTGCCCAGAGCTTGGAGGCGGCAGTTGGGAAATCATATTCCTTGTAATGCCAGTTTCAAGGTGCCCTGGGTGAGCTTCCAGCCTCGTGCAGTTCCTCTGGTCAGAAATGAGAGCCCCCCTTCCCCGTCCCCCCAGCATTGGGGTCAGTAAAGAGCAGTTTCCTTAAAGCTGTTGCCCCACATTCCTCAGTGCTCCAAAGCCCTTGGCTGCCCTCTTGTGTCCAGAACAAGAGCTGCAGGGGACTACCAGTGACCAGCTGCAGACCCAGCACGGGCCCAGCCCACCCACTGCACTAAATGGGGGACACTGAGGCCCTGACCTGGGAAGATCTTTCTTTCCAAGGTCACACAGTGAGTCACTGGCAGAGCCAGGACAGGAAGCCCAGGTCTCCTGCTCCCCTGGCCCAGCATGACCTCTTCCTGCACTGGGAATCAGACCTACCTTCAAAAGGGGTATCAGGCCCTCAGCTCAGCGACTGAGGCAGGAGGGTCCAAGGGTACCCAAAAGGCATTTGCACCAAGATCAGGACACAGCCTTCCCTATGAGCGGGGAGGCGCTCATATGCGACAAAGCCTTCAAAGGACAACATGATCTGTGTCTAGGCGGGAACAGAGAGGCTTTCTGGAAGCAGTGACCTTGAAGCTGAGACTGAAGGTGAACAGAGTTGCCCAGACGTCAGGGTAAAGGTGAAAAGACAACTGCTTGGCAGACGGAAAGGGAGCCCAGGCTCCCGAGGGGTTGGGTGCGGCTGTGACAGGGCTGTGCCTGTTGAGTAGGGCCTGGGCTGCCAGAGAATGTTCTCAGACAGCCTCGTCAGAGCAGCGGGGGGCCATCAGATGGTGCTTTCCCCAAGCCGGTCTGGCTGCAGCAGGAGGACCAATTAGGGGAACTTGAATAGAAGCAGCAGCTGCCCCAGGAAGTGAGAGACAATGAGGGTCCTGGAGAGGAGAACAGTTAGCAGATAGCAGAAGGGGGATGGGCAGACAGAGGGGTCAAGGATGCAAGGTTGGAACCCCAAGACTCCAACCCTGAAGGGCCAGGCCCAGAAGTATAGTCCACTCGGACAATCGAGGGCTGTCCTGGGACAGGTTGGGGGGTAGGCAGAGGTATGGCGCTCAGGAAGCCAGGCAGAGAGGTTTCAGGAAAGAATAAGCAAAGAGAGGTGCTGAGAATGGGGAGCATGGCCACTGGGTTCTCCCACCAGGAGAGGAGGTTTAGGGCAGGAGATGCCTGAGCATATTCAGTGATGGGGAGGAGTCAGCAGAGAGGGAAAAGGAGAGGCCAAGGGTGGGGTGAGACAGAAAGGGCACATGCCTGGGAAGGTCCTGGCAGGCCCCTTAGCCAGAGGGTGCCCCTCGAGGTCAGGGCAGGAAAGGACACATGTCAACCACCATAGGGGCCACTGCAGCCGGCCAACAGGGAAGATGTTTTGTCAGGGTCCAGGTGTGCTGGGCACCCAGGCTGCCTTGAACTGCACCGACCAACTGTGTGGGCACCCCTCCCAGGCCACCAAGGCTGAGGACAGTTGAAGGCCAGGGAAGCTCGCTCTGCTGCCTCGCTCAAGTGAAGGAGCTGGTGAGCATGGCGCACGGAACCCAGACCACTTGCGGTCTGAAAAGAGAGCTGCCCAGCCAGCCTTCCTGAAGCCCCAAGCCTCTGGCTGCAACATGGAGGCACCTCAGGGCCTGGGAGAGGTGTGGTGCTAGAGCTGAGACCGGGAAGGTTGGAAAGCTCCAAGACCCCTCCATGTACGTGTGTATGTGTATGTGCATGTGTGTGCATGTGGGGGGGTGGGAGGGGGCAGACCCAGAGAGTGGAAGGTGGCCGGCTCTGCCTGCTGAGCCTGCCAATCCCACCGCCCGGCACAGGCCTGACACATGGGAGGCACGGGGCCACTGTTTTCTATGAATAAACATTATAAAAACAAATGGGCCACTGAGGGGACATGTTAAGTTCCCGCCTCCCTCTCTCTCCCTCAGCAAGCTAGCAGGGAATAAGGATGGAAAGAAAACGAAACCTTACCCTGGCCTCCTGAAGGGTCCGCTAGAGACACTAAACCATGAGAAGGGCATTTTTTAAACTACGTTCCACAGCACCTGTCCAGTTCCGCACTCCCATCAGGAAAGTGTTCCACGTCGAGTAAGTTTGGGAAACATTGCTTCTATTGTCCACCCCTTGGAAATTCACAACACACTCTGGCATGTTAAAAGCTCTAAATTGTGCAGTGAAGAATTCTGTTTAACTTTGCTTCACCCAGTTTCCCAAACTTTCTGGCCACAAACCTCCATCGGCTGGCTTGACTTTTTACAGAACCCGTACGGACCTTCGAAGAGTGGCAGTCATCTGGGACACACCAGGAACCTCGTAGGCCAGAGGGTGAATTTTACATGGGCCAGGCATAAAGTCACCAAAAGCACGTCTGGGATTTGGCCAAGGGGATCAGTTCCCCTGGGAGAAGGTGTAATGTCCGCAATGTGTCTCCACTTCCGGTCTAGAGAGATGGTACTAGACTTCTCCCGGCCCAGCAGTGATTTCTGTGCAGGGCAGCTGTGCCACCTCCTGAGGATCTAGGCTCATGCCATTCAGTCCAATGGCCACCAGCCACATGTGGCTACTTGGGTATACCTTTAAATTAATTTTAAAAATGTTTAATGAGAATTTTGTTAATTCAATTAAAAAAAATCCACCATACTTCAATAAAAAATTAGAATTCTGTTTTTCAGTCTCGCCAGCCAGGGTTCAAGTGCTTAATAGCCGCATGTAGCTAGTGGCTACTGGACAGAGCCCTTCTAGAACATTTCTGGCATGTCAGAAAGTTCTACTGGACAGTGCTGCTCTAGAAAAACCACCAGTGACCAGGGTGAAAAACAAACAAGGGGCGGGGCAGGCTGGTGGCTGGGCCCTGGAGGATGGGGCGGGTGGGGAAGGGCTACAGAGGGAGGGCAGATACTTTATCTGGGACGTGCAGCCCAGCAGGCTGAGATGAGAGCGCCCAGATCTGCCGGCAGCTCAGGCCCTCAGAGAGTCTGGTCCCAGGCAAGGGCATTGAGGGATGAGCTAGATGCCAGTAGGGTGGGGACAGGGCTCAGCAATCCTCCTCAGAGTCAAACTGGTCCAACTCAAGGCTCTGCCACTGCTGGGTGAACTTGGGCACGGCCCTTTACCTCCCTCCTGTCTCCTCATCCATGAAACGGGAGGTCTTCCCCACCAGACCTAAAATGAGGACTTAGACCCATCTACCAGGCCTGTCCTCACCTTCCCATCTGAAGTACCCCCACCTGGGTCCCCCCTCTGACCCCCACCCTTGCCTCATCTTTCTGCACAGCACCTGTCTCTACCTGACGTTACAGTATGTCTCTGTTGTTATCGGTCACTTCCAGAAGGATGCCAGAGCTAGGAGGGTAGGCACACGCTCATCCCTGCCATACAGACAATGCTGAGAGCGATGCCTGGCACACGGTAGATGCTCACAGCACATGCTGTCCATCCTCTCCCAGCTCCCTACCTGCACAGTCCCCAGAGGAGGCCACCTCACCTGTACCACCCAGGAGAGCCCCAAACAGTGACTGGCCCATAAGGGGCTAGAACAGCCCAGCCCTCTGTTCCTGAGACAGCACAAGTGCAGGGCCCCTCCTGGGGTCAGGCGAGGCCATGCTCCTGCTGAACCCTCATGAGTGCCCAGCTTCTTCCCCCACCCTCTCTTCATCCCACCCTCTCTTACAGGTTTCACCACAAAGCTTGCCCTCCGGGAATCCCTTGCACCCCCATCCCCAGCGGGTTCGGCTTCTAGGGGGTGCTTCTCCCAGTGCAGTTCCTAAACCAGCAGCACCAGCACTTAAGAACTTGTCAGGAATGTAGATTCTCAGAGCGCCTGGGTGGCTCAGTCAGTTAAGTGTTTGACTCTAGATTTCAGCTCGGCCCACGATCTCAGGGTCATGAGATCAAGCCCCATGTCAGGCCATGCTCGATGGGGAGTCTGCTTGAGATTCTCTCTCTCCCTCTGCCCCTCCCCATGCTTGCGCACACTTTCTCTCTCTAACATAAATAAATAAAATCCTAAAAAAAAAATGTAGATTCTCAGGCTCCTCCCCAGACCTGAATCAGAAACTCTGGGAGTAGGCCCAGTGATCCATGTTATAACAAGCCCTCCAGTGGATTCCAATGCTTAAGCAAGTTTCAGAACCACTGCTCTAGAGAACTTGACCCCCGCAGTGATGAATGAACGAATGAACGAACGAATGAATGAATGACACGAACAAGGGAGGTTTGTCCCAGCCTAATGCCCATTGCCCACCAAAAGGCATGGCCTGTGAGATTCCCCATCTCAGAGCCTGGCCAGGTATCAGGGCCTCCATGCCCAGCCAGCCTTTTGGGGACCCCACAGATAGCAGGACATACCTGAGGTTGGCAACACCTCTGGGACTCACTCCCACCCCATACTCTCAGCTCTGCAAGACTCTATTCTCTAGCTGCCTGATTTCCTCAGGTGGACCCTCTACCCTCAGAAATCCAAACCAAGAATTGCTATCAGGGGAAGAGATGGCTGCTACCCCATTTGGAGCCCCAACTGCTTGGCTTGGGTCAGAACTTTCCATCAGTGAAAGTGGAAGCAAAAGGAGAAGAGGGAAAAAACCCACATGATCATTTCAGTTGTTGAAGAAGAAGCCTTTGCCAAAATCCAACACCCTTTCATGAAAAGTCAATCAACAAACTAGGAATAGAAAAGAATTCCCTCAACCTGGTAGAGGGCATTTATCATACACATATGCACACACACACACACACACGCACACACAATCTCAAAGCTAACAAGATACACAGTACTAAAAAATGGAAAACCTTCCACCTAAGATCAGGAACAAGACAGGGATGCCTGTTTTTGCCACTTCTATTCAACCTCACACTAGAAGTTCCAGCCAGAGCAATTAGGAAAGAAAAATTGGAAAGCAAGAAGTAAAACTA